AGCATCCACATGGCAGCTCATAACAGTCTGTAACGCAGGATCAAACTCTGGTCCTCTGTAAAAGTAAGAAATGGGGGGCTAGAGAGATGGCTCAGAGGTTAAGAGCACTGGCTGCTCTTTCAAAGGTCCTGAGTTCAATTCCCAGCAACCACATGGTAGCTGACAATCATCTGTAATAAGATCTGGTGCCCTCTTCTGGCCTGCAGGAATATATGCAGGCAGAACACTACATACATAATAAATAAATAATCTTAAAAAAAAAGTAAGAAATGTTCTTAACTAATGACTCAGCCTGAGAGAGCCCTGCTTTACCTTATTTAGTCATCACACAGAGTTAACCATTATCCCACTAGGAGAGGAACACCAGAAGGAAACAAACCTCACAACTTGTCTCCATGCTCTGGAAGCCAATCTCAGGATAGGTCTGTCTAACCCCCGGGATCTGTTCCTAGGAACACCCCAGTGTATGTGGAAGGAGAACTGACTCCCACAAATTGTTCTCTGACTTCCATATGCACGCTATGGCATGCACATGCTTGCACACACAAAATATTTTTAAAAAGCTGAGCATGAGCCTGGCGTTGGTGGCGCACACCTTTAATCCCAGCACTTGGGAGGCAGAGGCAGGCAGATCTCTGTGAGTTTGAGGCCAGCCTGGTCTACAGAGTGAGATCCAGGAGAGCCTCCAAACAATACAGAGAAACCCTGTCTCCAAAAAAAAAAAAAAAAAAAAAAAAAAGCTGAGCATGGTGGTGCAAGCCTTTTATCACTTAGGCACTTAGGTAGGCAAGCATATCTCTGTGAATTCAAGGTCAGCCTGGCCTACATATTGAGTTCCAGGACAGATAGGGCTGCTACAAAAAATAAAACAAACAGAAAATCCCAAAACAACAACAAAAAACAAAACAAAAAAAAATGTTTAAGATTTATTTTTATTAAGTTTCTGAGATGGCTCAGTGGTTGAGAACACTGTCTGTTCTTCCAGAGGATTTAGGTTCAATTTCCAGCACCCACATGGCAGCTCACACCTGTCTGTAACTCCATTCCAGGGGATCTGACATCCTCATACATACATACATACATACATACATGCAGGCAAAATATCAATGTACATAAAATAAAAATAAAATCATTTATAATCTTTACAAAATATTTGTTTTTATTATATGCTTATGAGCATTTTGCCTGCATGCATGTATGTACAGCATATTCATGCCTGGCATCCAAAGAGGTAAGAAGGCATCAAATGCCCTGGAACTGGAGTCACAGATGAATATGAATCACCATGTGGGAGCTGGGAACCAAACTCTGGTCCTTTCCAAGAGCAACAAGTGCTCTTTTGTAACCACTGAGAGAGACATCCTTCCAGCCCCAGACAACCCCCTACCAATCTTATGTGCTGCTATTGGTAACTGTTATTTTCCTCACTTAAAAAAAAAAAATCAATACTTAGGAGGTCAGGTTATGTGAACTGATCTTATTCAAATGGCCCAGAGGAAAACCAGATGCCCAGCTCACATCAGAGAGTCCTGCATTATGGGACAGTCATTTTGTTCCATGATCTTTGTTTCTTAAGACAGGGTCTCTCTCTACAGCCCTGGAACTTGATATGCAGATCAGGCTGATCTTGAACTCAGGATCTATCTGCCTCCTAAGAACTGGAATTAAAAGTATATGCAGGCCGGGAGTTGGTGGCGCACCCTGGGCTACCGAGCAAGTTCCAGGGCAGCCTCCAAAACAATGCAGAGAAACCCTGTCTTGAAAAAAAAAAACAAAAAACAAAAAAAAAAAGTATATGCAGTAGTGCAAAGTCTGGAAAGTTGTTTTCTGACCCCTATAGTCTCCTTATGGATCTTGTGTGCACTCGTGGACATGCACTCTCTCTCTCTCTCTCTCTCTCTCTCTCTCTCTCTCTCTCTCTCTCTCTCTCTCTCTCTCTCTCTCTCTCTCTCACACACACACACACACACAGAGGAACATATATGTTTAGTGCTACAATGCTGGAATTAAACTTGTTTCTGTGTGCCATGGATGTTGTTGAATACCTGATTCTGCCACCTTCCAAATGCTGGAATCACAGGTTTTATGTGGTGTCAGGGGTAGAACCCAGGACTTTGGGCACACTGGGCAAGCACTTTACCAACTAAACTGTAATTCTATTTCCCACCCCCTAATATCTCAAATATCTTTCTTGAACTAAATTTATTTTTTTAGACTATTAATTTATTATGTATGTGACCTGCCTGCATGTTTCCCTGCAGGCCAAAAGAGGGCACCAGATCTCATTACAGATGGTTGTGAGCCATCATGCAGTTGCAGGAAATTCAACTCAGAACCTCTGGAAGAGTAGTCTGTGCTCTTAACCTCTGAGCCATTTATTTATTTATTTATTTTGGTTTGAGGCAGGGAATTGCCTTAGGCTCATGGCAATCTTACTGCCTCAGCCTCCCGAGTGCTAGAATGACAGGCATTACCACCTCCAGCTAGCTAAGTGTACTAAACTGTTTAGTCCTTAGTCAATGGGTCTTCACACAAAAAACTTCAAGCTGGGCATGGTGGCACTTACCTTTTAATCTCAACACTCAGGATGCAGAAGCAGGGAGATTTCTGTGAGTTCAAGTTCAGCCTGGTCTACATAGTGAGCCCCAGGAGAGCCAGGACTCCACAGCAAAATCCTGTCTTGAAAAGTCCTAAACCAAACCAAACCAAAAAGCCCCAGATTCTTCACACTGCATGTTTGGACGCCCCATTGCTTCATCTTCCCAGGCTGAGATAAAGAACTCAGAAACACAGCTGAGTATAGTGGCATAGGCCTGTAATCTAGCACTCAAAGGCAGAGACTAACACCGAGGCTGCAAGTGCAGGGCCAACCTGGGCTACACAGAGAACCCTGTCTCGAAAGGAGGGGGGTAAGACAACCGTAAAATGGCTAGCTGACTGCTGGAGTTTCATTCCAGGCAGAAGCCACTCCTCAAAGTTGTCCTCTAACGTGCTGCACACAAGCGCCAGCACTCCCTGGCCCTACCTAGACACACTTCATACCCACAGACATGTAATTCCCACAGTGCACGACGACTGAGTGTCAAGATTTACACGCGCCTGTTAAGGCAACGCCTGTCTGTCTGTCTGTCACAAGGACATCTTGGAGAATTAACCTAGGTCTGCATCCCAACTAGGCTCTCAGGAGCTGTGACCTTGAACAGGTCACGCTCCTCAGCAGGCGTGTTCAATCGAAGCGAGTGTAACACAATGTGCTGTCGGGAACCATGCTAGGTAACTGCCGCTCCTGGCCCTTAATCTGAACCTCAGCTCTGGGACGGGAAGGCGCTGCGGTGAGTACAAGTTCAAGTGCCCCCGTCTGTGTCGCAGGAAGAAAAAGCGCTTATTCCTCAGCGGAGAGCCCAACGAACGGTTCCCGGCAGCGCGAGTGCAGGCCGGCAGAAGCCTCTCCAGGCTGCCTCGGGCTTCCACCGCCGCGCCGGGCGGTGCACAGCGCTAATCCGCCTCGGGGTGTACGGCGGAGGGCCTCAGAGCAAGGGTCCAGCGCGCCTCGGGAGAGGCCGCTGTGATGTCCCCGGGAGAAGGGCGAGTGTCCTAGCAGTTCCTTCTCACCCCACTATGGCCCTGGATCCTGCGCCCAGCTCGGGCTTCCAACCCCGCGGCCTGGCGAGAGCCAAAGGACTCACCGAGCGACGCCATCTTGCAGTCCTGGTGTCCGCAAAACCCAGCGGCGCGCGGGGGCTGCTGGGAAGGGAGTAAGCATCGCTGCTGAACGCGCTGGGAGCGGAGGCTCACCGGAAGTAGGTCGCCCCTTCGGTAGAGCGTGGAACTCGAGGGTGTCTTGAAGGGGAGGGCAGCGCCGGGCGTTGGTGGCGCACGCCTTTAATCCCAGCACTTAGGAGGCAGAGGCAGGCGGATCTCTGTGAGTTCGAGGCCAGCCTGGTCTACAGAGCTAGTTCCAGGACAGTCTCCAAAACAATACAGAGAAACCCTGTCTCGAAAAACCAAAAAAAAATACATAAATAAAATAAAAAAGAAGGGGAGGGCAGCTCCTTAGAGTCCTCGCGGACTCTACATTTTGGGACCAGACGGAAGTAAAGGACAAAAGGGACAAGGGACATTCTGACTTTTTATCCTCTGCTTTTGGATCTGTTATGAGAAATGAGAAGGGTAGGGGTGTGGTTGGATCCCGAGTGCTCTAGGCTCTGGTTTCATTCCACGCTGAAAAGAAAAGCCCAGAAGTCTTGAAAGCAGGAACATTTCTTGCCCTCCCCAATTCCTTTTACCCGCTATTCTCTGGGCTCTGACCCCAAACTCCTTTGAAGTTCCACTTATGATGCCTAAGTGATTTCCACGATGATTGCAAAGACTGACCTTCTAAAGCTCATTAAAGGTACTTTATCTGACCTGCAGAAGAAAGTTCAGGTCCAATCTGTGTTGAGACCAAGGTCATGCTATCATATAGCTACAGGCAATTATCTTACTGCTAATTCCCAATTCCCAGATTTGGGCTTCGAACTTTCTTCCAGCGTCAGCATCTCAAGGGTCGGGATTACAGGTGTGCACCACCTGTATAAACTGACATGACCGCTCCATGCTATGATTAAGGTGAAGATTTTATATTTTATGTGTATGGGTATTGTCTGCTTGTATATGTCTGTGTACCACATGCTTGCAGGGTCCACAGAGGTCAAAGAGGGCATTGGATTCCCCTGGAGCTGAAGGAGTTGTGAGCTCTTATGAGGGTGCTGGGAATCGTATCGTTCTTGGGTCCTCTGGAAGAGCAACAAGTGCTCTTAACTGTTCAGCCATTTTCCCAGCCTCCATAGGGGGAAAGTTTTTATTGTGTGTGTGTGGGGGGGAGACAGCCAGAGGCATTAGGAATAACCCAGAGTGGAAAGAGAAAGAATAGACTGAACATGGCCAACAAACTGGACATGGCTAGTGCTATTTGTGACAAAGAGGAGAATGGCAAGGGATCGAGAAAACCACAAAGTCAGTCCATGGTGGTGCACTTCTTTAATTACTTGGGAGGCAGAGGTGGATCTCTGAGATCGAGGTCACTTGATCTACAGAGTGACGGCAGCCAGGGCAGTTGTTGCTAACACAATCATAGGTCGCCCTTCAGCCACTTGACTGTTTAGAGTCTCATGGAAAAGCTGGCTAAAGTGGCACACTGCAATAATCCCAGGACTTCAGAGCCTTATGGAGGGGGATCACTGTGAGTTCGAAACCAACCCAGGCTACAAAGTGAGTTAGAGGCCAGCCTTGGCTAAATAGTGAGAGACCTTACCTGAACCAGCCAAACAAACAAAAAAACCATACAGCAGTTTTTTGTTTTGTTGAGACGCTGCAGGGAGGGGGGAGATCATTGGACCTCGGGCCTTCTGCATGGTAGGTAAAGGTTCTACCCCTGAGCTACAGCTCAGATTCTCATCAGCATTTCTGGAGGTCCTGGAATCACGTGTATGGCTAAGGGCCAGAGGCCACTACTTTAATCTTTGTACACAGTGTGCTCTTTCAGCCCTGGAGATTAATAATAAAGCTTCAAAGTGGCCTCCCCCTTCTCGTGCTGCTCCTGGTGCTGCGTGTGTGTGCCTTCAGCAGGGACCTGGTAGCTCTTGTGATGTGGCAGCTGAGGAGAACCTGGTGTTTGGAGTCAAGACTAAGAACAGCAATCCTACTAATTTGAAGGTGGCAGGGCAGGACGGTTCTGTGGTGTAGTTTAAGAGGCAGGCACCACTCAGTGAACTAATGACAAGGTACATCTCTGAGCAGATCGGATTCTGGTTTGATAACCAGTGAAACAGACACACCTGCACAGTTGGAAATGGAGAATGAAGATAAAATTGATGTGTTCCAGCGCAGACAGGTGTCTACTAAAGAGAGAACCTGCTACTTTACTCCAGAATTTTGTTAAAGACCAAGAATAAAACTGCAATTTGGTTCCACCACATCCTATTACAGAATAGTTTTCTCTATTCATTCATTTCCCTGTTCTGATTTCATTATCGTTCATAAACTAAGTGGTATGTGTGCACAAGCATATTGTGCTTTTTTTTCTTTTTGTTTTCATCTAAATGGCCAATGTTCTGTTTTGGTTGACTGACATCAGATGGAGACAGTCTGTGGAGAAGTACTGGTTCTGTGAAATTTTCCCCTCCATTTGTGGCATGCTCATTCAGCTCTTTTCTTTACATTCCAGTAAGGTATGTATTTTTGCTCTCATTGTTTTAATGAAAGAACCCAACATCATCAAATCCTTGCATACCTGGTTTGATTGGAGAATTTTAATGCTTTTATCATTGTAAAACCAAGGATAATTTTATAGCATTCTTGTATATAGCTGTTACATGTAGAACAATCTGTCTTTAAGTAGTGGCAAATTACTCTTGACCAAAATGATTCTAAATAGTTTTCCCTTCAGTTAAACTTATTTAAAAAGTCAAGTTTATCTAAATAAACTTGTTAAAAATGAAAAAAAAAATACAACTCCAGAGCAATGTAGACTCATGTCCCAGTCTTGGGGCATTTTTAGTATTTACTGTGGGGTAAGGTGTGTTTGTGGCACAGCATGTGTGTAGCCAGTGACACTTTGGGTCATCAGTTCTTCCCCTTCACCATGTTGGTCCCAGGGATAGAATTTATGTCACCTGACTTGGTGGCAAGTGCCTTTAACTGCAGAATCATTTCCTTAACCCCAAGACCATAGGATTCAATGTTTTGTCCTCAGTTTTCTCCTTTTGAAGATCCCAAGGATGTCCTTCTGAATCACTTCCTTATGTCTCCTGAGAAGCCTCAGGAAAAATTACAGGTGCATATGGTGATATGGTGCTGAGAATTGAATCCAGGTCCGATGTAAGCAGTATTTGTCATTTTAGCTGCTGAGCCTTTGCTCTTGTCCTTTAACCATTACTCTTATCATTAAACTTCTCAAATATGGTACCATTTTCATCTTTTGGAAAGCTCCCTATTTACTCAATCCTTCTCCTCCTCTGCAATATTTTTTTTTATAAAATTAAAACAATTATTGGGTTCTTGAGATGTCTCAGTGGATAAAGACACTTGCTGCCAAATCTGATGACCTGACATATTTCCAAATGACAAAAAAATGTAGTTTCTGGACAAAGTAACAATAGAACAATCAAAACACAAGTCATGGTGGGCATGGTGGTGCACACCTTTAATCTCAGCATTAAGGAGGCAGAGGCAGAGGCTGGTTGATCTCTGAGTCTGAGACCAGCCTGGCCTATATAGCTACTTCTATAATAATTTTAAAAAAGGCAGGAAGGAGACACACCAAACAACAGGGCTTACATGGGGATTTATTGGAAGAGGAGAGAGAAGGGGCAGAGAGGGGGGCAGAGGCGGATCCCTGGAGACAAAAGTAGCACAAAGGCAAGGTCTGCCATTTTTTTGTTGTTTTGTTTTTCGAGACAGGGTTTCTCTGTGTTGTTTTGGAGGCTGTCCTGGAACTAGCTCTGTAGACCAGGCTGGCCTTGAACCCACAGCGATCCACCTACCTCTGCCTCCCAAGTGCTAGGATTAAAGGCATGCACCACCAACACCCAGCTAGGCCTGCCTTTTGTAAGGGAATTTAAGGAATGTGCACAGGTGGTGCTCTTAGTGGCTGCAACTAAGGACATATCCTGTCAGGACCCTAAGGGCAGGCCAGTACAGATGCCTGAATAGTAACAACTTCCAGGTCAGCCAGGGCTGCAAAGTGAAACCTTTTATCAAAAATAGCAGCAACAGCAAAAACCACCACGAGTCATGCAAATACATATGAAAGCTAGGAGACTATAGTTCGGTGGATTCTTTGGTGTCGGACAAGGTGTGTACTCTGTCTAAATCTTTCGCCACACTGAAGACATTTATAAGGTTTCTCTCCCGTGTGAGTCCTCTGGTGTTTAATGAGGGTTGCACTCTGACTGAAGCTTTTCCCACAGACAAAACACACATAGGGCTTTTCTCCCGTGTGGATCCTCTGATGCTTAAAGAGGTCCGAGCGCTGCTTGAAGCTCTTCTCGCAGTCCTCACATTTATATGGTCTCTCCCCTTTATGTAGTCTCTGATGTCTAAAAAGGCTGGAAATATGGAAGATCTCCCCACACTCCTCACATTTATAGTACTTCTCGCTGGCATGGGTTCTCTGATGCCGACTGAGGTGTGAGCTCTGCCTGAAGCATTCCCCGCATTCTGGGCATGCGTATGGCTTCTCGCCTGTGTGTGTCCGCTGATGTTTAACGAGGGCAGCACTCTGGCTGAAACTTTTCCCACATGCTTGGCACTGATAGGGTTTCTCACCTGTGTGGGTCCTCTGGTGTTTAAAAAGGTCTGAGCGCTGTCTGAACCTCTTCTCACAGCTGTCACATTTATAGGGTTTGTCTTCTTGGAGCCCCAAACTACTGTCAACAGAGTTGTGAGGTTTCACAGTATGGCATTTCACATGGAAGCCTTGTTTGTGGTTGTTCTCATAGTCACCACTGGTGCTGAGCCTCTCTGCTGTCTGGATGTGCTGACCAATGCCAAAGCTGGCACTGTTCCCAAAATCATTATTTTTAGAAACTCCTTCCTTGGACACACCAACAAGATGTGAGACAGTGGTGTGTCCTTGCTCTTCAGAACTCTGGAGTTGCAGCAATACAGTGTCTTTTGACCGCTTTTCTTCCCAGTCCTCAAGGGCATCATCATACTTGGTGAATAGTGGGGCCTTTCCCTGGGACACTTCTTGTATCCATGCCTGGGGCTCTGCTTCCTTCAAAATTTCTTGCTTTGGAATACAGTCTGTGCTTGAAGTTCTGGTTTCCAAGCCTGAAACATGAAAATACAAGCTGCTGTTATCTCCCCCACTGTGTAACAGTGAAACAGAAATGCTGGTAGAAAGAGGAGGGACCTCTAGCCCGCTTCTAAGTGTTCCTCACCAAACTTCTTGGGTGAAACCGAATGAACCCATCAGGGGCATGCACTCTGCCTGTACAAGCAAATAGCCTTCCTGTACTTGTGCCTACAGCTACCAATCCATTCTCCCTGGTCCCATTGCATTGCTACAGATTGCATACTAAGAGAGGTAGACATGGAAAGGATGTCAGGACAGGCTGTGGAGCCTTTATCCCATGAATGTGGAATGGATTAATAGGAGAAAGTCTCCCCATGGTGAGCTCAGATCACAGAGACCTGAGCTGTTAATCCTGGTTAGTAAAAACTGTCAGCCTGACACAGTCTATGACAGGAGAGCCTCAACTGAGGAACTATGTAGATCAGATTGGCCTGTGGGCTCTCTGTGGGGAGCTACCTTGATTCTTAATTGATCTAGGTGGGTCAACCCATTGAGGGTTAAGCAAGATGGTCCTGTTGATGGGGATGGCAGGACGACTCAGTGGGTGAAAGCACCTGTAGCAAGCCTGACAGCTTAAGTTTGATGATCCTCAGTATACACATGGTGGAAGGAGAAAACTTGCTCCTACACACGACACATAAGTAATAGATTTAAAGAAAACCTGTTTAAAAAAAAATGCTAGCTGAGGCCAAGCCAGCCTGCAAACAGCATCTTCCATTGGCTGTGAAATGAGTCCCTTAGTCAGAAGTAATGTGTGGGGACTAGCATGTGGGACTGCTTCCAGGTTCCTGCCATGACTCAAGCCAGATAAACCCTTCCCCTAAGCTGCTTTTGGTCAGAATGTTTCCTCACAGCAACTGGAAGGAAACTAGGGCAGCCACCCTACACAAGTCACACACAGTAATTCATCAGAGGACAGCACATACCAGGCAGCCCCATACTCCCAGGTTCCTTTGTGCTCTCTCTGTGGAAACCTTTCCGAGCTGCAGTCAGCTGCTCCCACTCTTCCCAGGTCAGAGATTCGGCCACATCCTTGAAAGTCACAAAGCCCTAGAACAGCACAAGATCTCAATTTAATACCTGCTGTCACTGCAAATACTTCCACTAGTCTAAGGGGAAGCCAGTCTCTAGGGAGTAAGGAGCTGGTGTGAGAGTCAGGTAACAACCACAGGTGCTGAGTGACTGTTACTGATAATCTTCATTGTCAACTTGACTGGATCTAGAATCGCCCAAAACTAAGCTTCTGGACTTAGCTGTGCGAGCATTTTCAGACAGGTTTGACTGTGGAGGAAAGGTCAACCCTCAGCAGGCTGATGCACTGGATTGAATGAGGAGTAGTAACAAGGGATGCACCAGCATTCATCTCCTTCTGACTGCTAACCCTGAAGCAAGGTGACAGCCACACCCTCTGCCACACCTCCCTGACTGACTGTAGCTCTTCTTAAACCCTGACCCCAAAATAAGCCCTACTCAAGGTGGTCTTGTCACAGCATCGAGAAGAGTTACCATTCTCACTAGAAGGCCACATCCTCCTGTAATCTTGAAAAGACTTTCTGTGGATCATCTATGGCAATTTGGGGAAGGCACATGCAAAAATATTTGAGTTCTAGCACTGTGATTATCAAAATGGAAACTTGGGCTGGGAAGTGGCCAGGCATGCACAGAGCTGAGCTCTAGCCCTAGCACTCCAGAAGCCAGGCGTGGCGGCAAACACTTCCAACCTGAGAACTCAGTAGGTGGAGGCAGGGGGATCAGAAATTTTAGGGTCACCCTCTCCCCTCTACATAGGGAGTTGTTCTGGGCCAGCCTGGGTGACATGATCTCATGTCTCAGTTTGCGGGGAGAGGAGACAAAGAAAGGAAAGAGAAGAAACAGCCCAGGAGGAGGATGCAGATGCAGGGGAGTATCCCTGGGGCTCTAGCTCCCTGATCCCCACCCTTTTCTGCATCCCTGCTCTGCTTCCTCACTGCCAGAAAGTGACATATCTGCTCCAGCATATCCTTCTGTAACAGTGTTCTGCCATATCCCAAGCCCAGAAACAATGAATTCTGCAGACCATGAACTTCTAAACCATTAAACCCCAAAGGATCTTGTGTTCCTTAAGTTGTCTTAAGTATCACAGTGTCAAACTGACTAAACACACTATGTATACATGTACATGGCTAACACATGTATGCTTTTTAATTAATTAATTTATTTATTCTTATTACATATACAGGGTTCTGTCTGCATATACATCTGCATGCTAGAAGAGGGCACCAGACCTCATTACAGATGGTTGTGAGCCACCACATGGTTGCTAGGAATTGAACTCAGAACCTCTGGAAGAGCAGCCAGTGCTCTTAACCTCTGAGCCATCTCTCCAGCACCCCACATGTATGCTTACATAGGCTGAGTTCCCTGTATCTAAAATGTGTATGAGCAAAACTATTCACAATGTCAGAATATCTCAGTTCAGGCAGGGATGAAATTAGTGTTCTAGCATTTTCCTAATCTAAGAGCCCAAATTTGAAGTTCTTGAGTGTCTACCCCCACAATTAAGTATTAGCCCAAATGTCCATAGTGCAATGTGGAAAAACTGCCTTTGAAATGACTGAGGTATGAAATCACATTTTGGGGGGAGGGCCTGGAAAATGTTTCTATATTAACTTTCGAGAGGCTGGATCAGAAGTTAAAGAGTATGGGCTGGAGAAAACAGCTTAGAGGTTAAGAGAGAGCGCTGGCTGCTCTTCCAGAGGTCCTGAGCTCAATTCTCAGCAACCATATGGTGGCTCACAACCATCTGTAATGAGATCTGGTGCCCTTTTCTGAGCTCCAGGCATACATGCAGACAGAACACTGTATACGTAATAAACAAACCTTTAAAAAAAAGTTAAGAGTGCTTCCTGTTCTTCAAGACAGACCTGAGTTCAGTTCCTAGCACCCACACTGGGCAGCTCATAACAGCCTGTGATGCAAGTTCCTGGGACCCATGCCCTTTTCTATGTTCCTTTGGCATATATTCATACTAACACACAGTCATGTGAACACAGAATGCAAAACTGACTTTTCACACTGACAGTGACTGTGGATTGTTTCCCCAAAGGCACGAGCAAGCTTAGTTGCAATGAGCTAGGCACAGTGGTGCACACCTTTAATTCTTGAACTTTGGAGGTGGAGTAAAGGGGATCTCTGTGAGTTCAAGACCAGTCTGGTCTATACAATGAGTTCAAGTCAGTTAGGGCTACATAGTAAGACTCTGTCTTTAAAAAAAAATCAGCATTCATGCAGCATGCATGTCAGAACCAGTAATACGTGTCAGGAGTATTACTCTATTTTTCCAAGGTATCTTCTCAGGGACTTAACACATTCTGATATATTAGCCTATAGTGACCATTCTCACTCAAATCGCCACTCTGTGTACGTGCGTGTGTGCACACGCGCACACACACGTGATTGAAGACACCCGGAAGATGACATTAGCTCCCCTGACACTAGAGTTACAGGTGGTGGTGAGCCACCTACGTGAGTGCTGGGAACCGAATTCACCCTCTGGAAGAGCCCCATTTACGGTCTTAAACGCTACACCATCTCTCTGGCGCCACCCAGAGCCCACCCGCGTCTCACCTGTGGGGAGGCCCGGTCCAGGGCCCTTTGTAGAGTCCGCGCCAAGACCGCAGCCTCCTCCCCGCTCTCAGGGCAGTGGTCCCGCACGCAGGCCTGGAGCTCCTGCGGCAGGATGGTGAGGAACTGCTCCAGCACCAGCAGCTCCAGGATCTGCTCCTTGGAGCGCAGCTCCGGCCTCAGCCACTGCCGACACAGCTCCCAGAGTCGGCTCAGCGCCTCCTCGGGGCCGGCCACTTCCTGGTACCGCAACTGCCTGAACTGTTTTCGAGAAGTTTCGGGGTTCTGCCAATCCCCGGATGCGGAGGACTTCTGACTCCCGGGTGAGTACTCCTCCACTTTCACTGTACAAAGCCCGGCTCCCACGACAGCCATTGGAGTCGCTGGACCGTCCAGCTCGAAGTTGTTGTTTAGAAAGGCAAAACGGGGCGCGCTGCTACCCACTTCCAAAAACGAGGACCCGAACAGGCCCACTACCGACACAGCACACCCGCGAGCATGGCCGGTTAGTTCTCTATGTTGCCGGTGACAGAAAAACAAACCCGGGCCGGAAGTGCGTCATTATCCCACGTGCTGGAGATAGGACTTGCCTTTCCAAGGTCTCTCTAAGCACCCCGGAGGACTAAGGTGCATCTTGGTGGTTCGCTTTCCTTATTGGGAGGGGAGCGTGTGAGCAACATATCCCTAATTCTCATTTGTACAGTGCACACAGAGGGCATCAGATACCCGATACCCTAGAGCTAGAGTTACTGAAGGTTGTTAGCCATGAGAGTTTTGGGAATCCAACCCAGGTCTTCTGGCAAGAGCAGCAAACGTTCCCAATCACTGAGCCATCTCTCCGGGGTTTATACTTATTTCACTGCCCATCTCCTTGTTGCTGGAGATGGAACTCGGGGATTTCACAGTGACAATCTTACCACCCCTGAGAGACGCCCTCCCTGCTGCCCTACAGCGTTGTGGCCTTTAGTCTCTAACGAGGTCTTCAGCTATTTGCAGAGGGTGCAATTCCACAGTAGTCTGTTTCAGCATGCCCCTAAGGAGTGACGACAGGGACTTTCATATTGTCTGTCCGCGACTTGGAAAGCGATCAAAACACAACTGGAGAGGGATAAATTATTAAAGATGGGGATTTGCGGTTTAGGGTAACAGGATTTAAACAAAAAACTCCCCTTTTCTGAAGTGTAGTTTCTCCCCATCCAGCAAGCCTCCAGGCCTCGGGCATAATCTTCCCTTTGCTGCATCTGTTGTTATTATTATTACTTTTAAAGGCTGGTCAAGTGCAGTAGTAGTGAGAAGAGAGTAAAGTGTGAACAATCAATTGAGATAACCCCTACCTTCGGAATAGACCCCCCCCCGTTGCCTTTTAACATTAAAAAACATAATTTCCCTAATGCCTACGTGGGGTGGGGTGGGGGCGTACACAGCGACTTTGACTTCCATAACATTTGCATATCTCGAATACGGGGAACGAACTCATGTCACCATGATAAAAATGCAGTCCACCAGATACAGCATTTTAATAAGCCCCGGAGACTGAGGAGAGCGGCAGCCATGTTAGCAAGACTGTGTTGCTCTCGCGCGGCTTCTTGGGAGATGTAGTCCTGTGATCCTCTGGATCTCGCCACTCTAGGGCAGTAAAGAATGTCTTTGGGTGTGTATTTTGGAAAAGTGGCGAGGCAGTGATAGAATTCGAAGGGTTATGAGCTGGCAACAAGGTGCAGACCAATTTAAATTCCTGAGTGTGCGGGAAGCTGATCTCGACCAATTAGATGCGAGAGAGTGGGGGCCCGCCCCTGAGGCCCGCCCTCTAGCCTTACTGGCAGGGGCGGAGCGGAGCGAAACTGCGGTTTTGGGGATGGGAGATAGATACTGGAGCTATTTTCTTCGGGCTCTAATAGCCTCTTGCCTGAAGCTCGGTGATTGGTCAGATCCACAAGGGGGCGTGTCCAGAAATAGCTCCTCCCTCCTGCTGTGCTGCGTGGACCTCCGGGATTCCTAGAGAGGCTGCGGAAGCGCTCTTGGGGGTGGGATTTATGGCTGAGCTTTGCACTTGGTTACTTCCGGCGAGGAACTGTTGGAAAGTGTCGAACACGGTTCTCTCTTGGCTTGTGAGAACTCCATCTTCCAAGCCCGGCTTCGGGGAGTTTGCTCTTTGGGTCCCCGGGACTTAGGGACTGGAGAGGAGAGAGTAGCATTGTGTCCACCCTGGGTCCCTAACCTTGACCCCTCCGGTCTCTGTCTCCGGGTCAGGAGCTATTCCGAGGAATCCAGGTTCAAATTTCTGTCTACAACCGTGCTTTCTCCTAGAACTAATGAAGTCTTCCGTTTACCTGTCAAGCCCTTACGGCTTAAAAGCCAGGACCAGATATGACCATTTTAATGATTTTCACTCCTGTTCCGACTTAAGTTTGGCTTATGATAGAGAGAAGAAACGACTCTGTCTGCAATAATTTAGTCCCGTTATTTATATGAGATGTGTACTTTTTCATTTCTAAAATTGTGTTTCACGTTGGGCCTGATGTCACTTTTTTGTGGTCGTTGTTTGCGTTCTTAAAACCTGGACGTAGTTTCAGTAATTTTTATGGGTGAAGTGATGACTGACTTGTAGTCTGTGAACGACTTCACTGAGTGGTTTGCTTTAGTATAGATGACATCTTTGCCACCTCTCTGTTAATAATAATTCCGGACATACCAGTAAGGTTGTTCACTGCAAAAAGTGCCCTTCAAAAGAGCAGAGAACAAATTGGGTCGGTGTAACGGGCAGCCTCTAGAGACTGTTGGAATGATAATGACAGAATCCAGGGCAGTTATACACTTAGAGCCTCCAGCTGAGACTTCCTCGCCAGAGCAAGCTGACCTCCTCATAGTGAAAGTGGAAGAAGAGGACGGTTCCTGGATGCAGGGATACAGCCGGCCAGTGTTGGAGACTTTTTACCAGCGCTTCAAGCACTTCCAGTACCATGAGGCAGCAGGCCCTCGGGATGCTCTCAGTCAGCTTCGGGTGCTCTGCTGTGAGTGGCTGAGGCCGGAGCTGCACACCAAGGAGCAGATCCTGGAGCTGCTGGTGCTGGAGCAGTTCCTCACCATCCTGCCTGAAGAGTTCCAGGCCTGGGTGAGAGAACAGCACCCCGAGAGCGGAGAAGAAGCTGTGGCTGTGATTGAAGGTATCCAGAGAGAGCTAGAGGAGCGCAGGCAGCAGGTGAGTCGGAGAGCAGCCAGGCGCAGCCAGGAAGGAGCTGCGAGTGCTGAGGAAGTGCTAAGCGGGGCTGAGAGGTTTAGCCGTCTGGGGCTTAAGTCAGTCATATTCCGATGTAATGGTTGCTTTTTAGATGGTCTCACCATGTATCCTTGGGTACTCTGGATTTTACTATGTAGACTTGAGTGGACTCGAATTCACAGACATCCACCTGCTTCTGCCTCCCAAGCACTGGGATTAAAGCGTGTGCCAGCATACCCAACATGTAATTAAAGTTTTAAAGAACATTTTGTTTCTTCTTCCTCTTCTTTCTCCGTCTTTTTGCAAATTATGCTTGTGTTTCTTACTTGCTTTTCTTATCTATTAGAAACGATAGGCATTGTGTGTACCATATGATTGGCATATCGCTGCTTTTCCAGTTTGTTGCCATGGAATCTATTGTACTTGGAGATGAACCGGTGTAATTCTTACATCCTGGTTTCTGGGACTCATGCTTTTGAAGACTTTCTTCACTGCTATGGTGTCCGCCCCACGAACAAGTCCGAGGTATCCGGAAATGAAAGATGCGACGTCCAACCGTTTGTGCTAAGAGAATGCATGTGTGTGTGCTCTGCGTCTACCTATCTGCCAGTGTGTCTGCCGTAAGGAGGGCGCAGCCTTATATACAGACTTACAGCACAGTGGTGAACACCCAGGTGTAAGAGCTCGTGTTCACCTCGTGCTAGATATTAAAGTCAGGTGGGCAAGGCTGGGGCTGTAAGCCAGGACTAGAGCAGGATGCACCCGTGGCTATCAGCTGACAAGCAATGCACAGAGATCAGTGGGGGCTAGGGCCCAACAATTGCACTTTGTGAAAACCTTTTCTCAGTCTTTTTATTTATTTAACTATTTATTTATTGTATTTCATGTGCTTTGGTGTGAAGGTGTCAGATCCCCTGGAACTGGAGTTATAGACAGTTGTGAGCTGCCACGTGGGTTCTGGGAATTGAATCTAGGACCTCTGGAAGAACAGCCAGTGTGCTTAACCTCTGAGCCATCTCTCCAGGCCCCTCAGTTGCTTTTTAACAGACTCCTTTGTCTAGAATGTGTTCTGATGTAGTGCCTTTGGTATGGTTCCAGCTGTTTTCCCTACATGTCTATCTCATTGCTCTAGCAGCTTTTTTTTTTCTTTTCTTTTTTTTTTTTTTTTTTTTGGTTTTTCAAGACAGGGTTTCTCTGTGACTTTGGAGGCTGTCCTGGAACTAGCTCTGTAGACCAGGCTGGCCTCGAACTCACAGAGATCCGCCTCTGCCTCCCAAGTGCTGGGATTAAAGGCATGCATCACCACTGCCCAGTTCCAGCAGCTTTTTAAAGAAATATTTTATATTTTTGGAATTATTTATTTTGTGTGTCTTAGTGTTCTGCCTACAGATGTGTATGGAGCCTAGAAGAGGATGTTGCATCTCTTGGAGATAGATTTACAGATGGTTGTGGGCTGCCATGTGGGTGCTGGGAATTGAACCCAGGTCCTCTGCATGAGCAGCCAGTGCTCTAAATCACTGAGCCATCTCTCTAGTCATTATTTTTATTTTAAATTGTGTATTTGTGTGTCTGGATTTGTGTGTGTGAGTGCAGGTGCCCTCGGAGGGCATTGAATTCACTGACACTGGAGTTACAGGTGGTTATGAGCCTCCTGATGTGCGAGCTAGGAGCTGAGCTTGGGTCCTCACAAGAGCAGTGTGTGCTTTTACATTAGCCTGTGAGCCATCTCCCCGTCACCCTCCCCCAACTCCCTCAGCACAGCAAATTTTAAAAGAAACTTTTTTTCTTAACCGATTAAAATGCCATCTTTTGGCCCACACCTTTAATCCCAGCACTTGGGAGTAGAGGCAGGCAGATGGATCTCTGTGAGTTCGAAGCCAGCCTGGTCAACATAGTTTGAGGCCAGCCAAAATAAAATGCCGTTTTTATCACTTGTTAAATTTCGGTCTGTTTGGGGCATCTGTTTCTGATGTTTGTGTCCTAGTTTGTGGATCCTAGTGACTGTTTCTGAATCTACTTTACAATTATTTGGGGTATAAACAGTTTTGGGGTTTCCTTCCCTCTGCCTTCTCCATTCAGGGTTTTCTCCTTATGCACATAGAGCTCGATTTGGTGGGACATGCCTTTAATCCCAGCACCTGGGAAGCTGAGACGGGGACCCTGTCTAAAATCAAACAGAACAAAGGCCTATGGGTTAGGAAGCGTTTGAAGGTTGCTGGAGGGTTCTACTTGTCCCTTAGTCTATATGTAATTGTAAGGTGCTGGTCTTATCATTCCCATTTTGAGGGTGAGGGAACATTCTAGAGTTCCAGAACATCCTCAAACTCTTTGGCAGCTTTAGCTCACCCTGTGACTCAGACAGCAAGGTGGGGAGGGGGGGCAGGATCTTAATGCCTTCCAGAATTTGTAGTAGTAAACTGTGCCTTGGAGCAAGGTAATTACATATACCCTAAGTGGGGTTGAGGGCTGAGATCAGGATGGTAGAGGCTGGTACCATGCTGGACATGAACAAACTTAAGTTCCTTCTAAGGCAGGGTTTTCCAGTTTAACCAAGAC